GACCACCCTTTGCCTGTCTGTCTGTCACTATGATGACTTGTGTGATGCTAGGAGCTGTCATTGGTATTTCAAACACAGGCAGGGTCACTCAAAGTAAACCGGTTTCAGCAGAGCTTCCAGACTAAGAACAGACAATGAAGAAGAAACAGGATGCTCATTTCAGAGGCAGTAGCTCCTGAGAATCGTATGCATTGCACTGAAACATTGTCAGATACTGAGCACCTATTGAACAGAAGCAGAACATTGTCAGAGATAGTGCCAGAAGAGACCCTCAGGGCAGAATACACTCAAAAATTAGAGATGACTATAATGGCGTGTGTAGAGTAAAGCCCTTGTAAGTAAAGCCTTCAGGACCTTCATTGGCTCATGGGCACAGCTCAGAAAAAGAAGAAATAGCTGAAAATATCAATCAATAGTCGGAACTTGCATTGTATGATGTCTAAATCTAGGAAAACTGGAAATTGTAAAAAATGAAATGAAGGTATAAAGATCGATGTCCTAGGAGTTAGTGAGACAAAATGGGCTGGTTTTGGATTTTTGAATCAGAGAATCATATAGTTTACTGTGCTGGGAATGACACTATCAAGATGAATGAGGTTGAATTCGATGTCAACAAGGACATTTCAAGATCTATCTTGTAGTACAATGCTGTCTGTCATTGGATTATGTCTATCCGCCTTCAAGGAAATTCAATAAATACAACTATTATTAAAATGTATGCACCAATAACAAAAGCTAGCAATGAAGAAATTGAAGAATGTAGTCTCCCAAAGTCTTCAGGCAGAAATTGACCAAACATACAATCAAGATGTATTGATAATTACTGGTGATTGGAATGCAAAAGTTGAGTAGTTGGAAAATATGATCTTGGTGGTAGAAATGAAGCTGGGGATCACATGATAGAATTTTGCAAGCCCAACAACTTGTTCATAGCAAACACCTTTTTTCAATAACACAAATGGTAGCTATATACATGGACTTCTCTGGATGACATACACAAAAATCAAATTGACTATCTGTGGCAGGGGACAATGGAGAAGCTCAATATCAGCCTCTAAAACCAGGCCAGGAGCTGACTGTGGAACAGACCACCAATCACTCATATGTAAATTCAGATTGAAACTGAAGAAAATTAAAACAAGTCCACAAGACAACCTTGAGTCTATGCCATCTGAATTTGAAGAATATCTCAAGAAAAGATTTGCTGCATTGAGTTCTAATGACAGAAGAGGTGATGAGCTGTAGGGTGACATCAAGAACATCATTCATGAACAAGCATGGGCTTATCAAAAACGGGAAAGACAAGATCAAAGTGGGCGTCAGCAAAGACTCTGAAACTGGCTCTTCATCATGGAGTAGCCAAAGCAAGTGGAAGACTAATGACGTCAAAGAGCTTCTGGGAAAGACAAAGTCAGATATTATAATGAAGTGTGCAAAGACTAGCGTTAAAAAACCAAAAAGGAAGAACATGCTCAGCATGTCTTAAACGGAAAGAATTGAAGGGAAAAAAAGTCAAGCCTCAAGTTGAAGTCCTGAAAGATTCTATGGGCCAAATATTGAATGATGCATAAAGAAGCATCAAAAGAAGATGGAAAGAATACATAGACTCCCTGTCCATGCTCAACCATTTCAAGGGGTGGCATATGTCAAGAACCAATGATACTGAAAGAGGAAGTTAAAGCTGTACTGAAAGCATTTGCCAAAAACAAGGCTCCAGGAATTGATGGAATATCAATTGAAAAGTTTCAACAAGCTGAAAGCACTTACTCATCTATACCAGGGAATTTGAAAGACAGCTACTTAGCTAACTAGTAGAAGAGATTTTTATTTGTGTCAATTCCAAAGAAATGTGGCCCAGGAGAATGTGAAAATTATAGAACAATATCATTACTAGTATACACAAATAAACTTTTGCTGAAGATCATTTGACAACGGTTGCAACGGTACACTGATAGGAAACTTCAAGGGATTGATGCTGGATTCAGAAGAAGATGTGAAATAAGGACATCACTACTGATGTCAAATAGACCTTGACAGAAAGCAGAGAATACCAGAAAGATGTTTATTTGTGCTTCGTTGACTATGCCTAGGCATTTGACTGTGTGTGGGTCAAGAGGCAGTTGTTTGAACAGAACAAGGGAAAGCTGTACGGTTTAAAATAAGGAAAGATGTGCATCAGGATTGTATCCTTTCACCATACTTATTCAATGTCTATGATGATGAAATAATCAGAGAAGCTGGAGCTGAAGAAGAATGTGGCATGAAGATGGGAGGAAAGCTTATTAACAACCTTCATTGATATGCAAATAGCACAATCTTGCTTGTTCAAAGGGAGGAAGACCTGAAGCATTTGCGGATGAAGATCAAGGATTGCAGCCTTCGGTATGAATTACACCTCAATGAAAAGACGACCAACATCCTCACACTTGGACAAATGAGTAACAGCATGATAAATGGAGAAAAGATTGAAGTTATCAAGGATTTCACCTTGCTTTGATTCACAATCAGTGCTCATGGAAGCATCAGTCAAGAGATCAAAAGACACATTGCATTGGGTAAATCTGCCCTACAAGACCTTTTTAAAGTGTTGAAAAGCATGAATGCTACTTTGAGAACTAAGATGCATCTGATCCAAGTCCTGGTGTTCTCAGTGGCCTCATATGCATATCAATATTGGATATTGAATAAGGATGACCATGTAATTATACTGTTGGTGAAGAATAAAGAAAGTACCATGTACTGTCAAAAACAAACAAAATCTTAGAAGAAGGATAGTCAGAATGCGCCTTGGAGGCAAGGATGGTGAGACTTCATCTCATATACTTTGGATAGTGTAGCAGTTACATAATCTGCTGTCAACTTCAGGAAGGGGTAGAGTCTAACCATGTCAATCAGGTCATAGCCAATGAAGCCTCTATGTAGATATGGCCTTCTCCCAAGGATTCTGGGAACTCCTGTCTTCCTCTCTGGAGGCAGGACACATACTCTCCCTGCTTGATCTTCCTGCTGACAAGCCACATGGAGCTACACTGATGGAGCCAGAGCCCTGGAGCTGGAGGAGCCATGTGAAGACCCACATCAGCGCTGAGATGCTTCCACCACCACTGGATCTACAAGACTTTCCACCCCCTGGCCTGTGATCTTCCTGCATTCATCATCATTGCAAGTGTTGTGTGAGTCTGAAGAGGAAGTTATAGACTGGTATCAGAAATATGGGCTAATATCAGACTTATGGACTTGATCTGTGCTGGGTTAGGATGTTTTCCTCAATATACAATTGCTTTTTTATATAAAGCTCTTACTTATACACATATAAGGGTCTATGAATTTGTTTCCCTAGTCAACCCGGACTAACACAGGCACATTGTCAAGACAGACCAGTCCCTGGAGAAGGACATCATGCTTGGTAAAATACAAGGGCAGCAAAAGAAGAAGAAGAAGACTTTGACAAGAAGGATTGACGCAGTAACTTCAACAATGGATGCAAACATAAGAACAAGGGTGACGGCAAAGGAAAAGGCATTGTTTTGTTTCATTGGAAGCAACTCAATGGCCCTAACAACAGCAATATGAATTTGTGAAAACTCACAGACCCAGTTCACATAAAACAAATGTCTTTTATATGTTATTCCTTAGAAACTTTGATTTTTAAAAATAACTTCTATACATCTTTAATTTTAAAGCTAGGATTGCAAATAAACTAGCGTGGTGACCTCTAGAATGTCTAGGATGCATTACTCTGAGCACCTGGTAGTCTGATCTGTGGTGGGGAAAAAAAGTATGAATCGGTCCCTATTTCCCAAGAACAAAACCACCACTTACTTAAATAAATAGGTCTAAAAATGCTGAATGGGCTTGATTTTGAAATGTTCAATGAAACCGTTGCTTCAAGAGTTAGGCTAATATATCCAAATTCAGATTTTTATAACCTGCTTAGTAAATTCTTAGAAACATTTTTCTGAACTCTTAAACTTCACAGAGATGTTTTATTCTTGAGATATAATCTTCCAAAACATGGGCATTAGTGTTATCAGAAAGAATAGCATTTGGACTCTTAAAAACTTAAAATAAGCAGCCATCTAAGTGAAGTGGCAGCTAAACCCACATGGAAGAAGCACATCAACCTGTGTGATCAAGGGATTGTAAATAATAAAATCCAAGATTAGAGGAGAGATTTAAATGAGAGCTTAAATTCTGAGCGTCCAGCTTGCTTGACAGGAAACCCCACAATCCATCTAGTCCTCAAGAGGATTAAGCCCCCATTGGTGTCTCTGGGACCATTGACTAGGAATTAGAATACACCTTGCCTTCAGACTCAGAAAGTGAATTGAATGCAGATATAGTTAAAGTCACTGCCTTAAGCACAGTCTTAGAAACCCATAAGGCTTTTCTACCCTGTCCTGTAGGGTTATTATGAACAGAAAGAGGTTAAATTTTAATATCTGTTCGTTTATTTTCCCTTTTGTTCCATTTTGAATTTGCTCTAGTTTTTATGAGTCTCTGCTTTTTGGGGGTTGAGATTTTCTGTGTTTCATTTTGTTATTGTTGTTGGGAAGAGGTGTTGTATGATTTTCTTTATATAAAATCCAGGACAGGTAAATCCACAGAGACAGTAACTAGATCTAAAGCTTCAGCAGAGGCATTCTTATGCCGCAGTAGCAGAGAACAATGACCTTTGCTTTGTGTGAACTTACAACTCAGTGGTTTTTGAGAACATATTTAAGATCTTTTACTTCAGTTTTGGAAGGCTGAGATGGCTGAGGCCCTGGATTGCAGTTAATGACTTTCAGATGTCCAAGTGAAAGCCATTAAAATGAAAATGTTTTAGAGTTCAAGGCCTTAAACATTAAGCCCTTCAAAAATATTTTAATCACTACGTTGTTCTTAAGGAACTTATAACTAATAAATTAACAATGTTTAGTAGCAAGTTTTTATTTTCTAAGTAAATGTAGTTGAGTCTTTTAAATGTGAATTTAATCATAAAATGTTTCTAACTATAGAGTTCATGGACCTTTCTTTCCAAGAATTCTGAGACGTAGGAAAGGAAAAAGAGACTTTGGGAAGACCATAACACACATTGTAGCAAAAGTGATGACTACTGAAATGGTAAGAAATACATTTTATTCTTATGCATTCATTTAAATTTCAGCTGCATATAATAATGACATGCGCTCTTTGAAGGGATGGTTCTCATCAGGCCCATTAGTAGCTTGTTTTTCCCATTGCATTCAGCTCAGTGATCGTCCATTGTGCTTGTTAGATGCTGTCGAGTCCGTTCCTGCTCACAGCAACCCTCTGTACAACAGAAAACGACACAGTCCAGTCCCGCGCCATCCTCACAACTGGTGTCAGGTTTGAGCCCAGTGTTGCAGCCACTGTCTCAGTCCACCTCTTTGAAGGCTTCCTTTTCACCCCTGCCCCTCTATTTTACCAAGAATGATGTGCTTTTCTGGGGACCGGTCTCTTTTGATAACATGTCCAACGTATGTGAACAAAGTCTCTCCATCTTCACTTCTAAGGAACCTTCTAGCTATACTTCTTCCAAGACAGATCTGTCTGTCCTTTTGGTAGTCCACTGGTACTTTCAATACTCCTTGCCAGCACCATAGTTCAAATATATCAATTCTTCCAACTTTCTTTTTTTTTTTTTAATCATTTTATTAGGGGCTCATACAACTCTTATCACAATCCATACACACACCAATTGTGTAAAGCGCATTTGTACATTCATTGCCCTCATCATTCTCAAAACATTTTATTTCCACTTAAACCCTCGGCATTAGATACTCATTTTTCCCCTCTCTCCCCGCTCCCCCCTCACTCATGAGCCCTTGATAGTTTATAAATTGTTATTTTGTCATAGCTTGCCCTGTCCAACATCTCCCTTCACCCACTTTTCTGTTGTCCATCCCCCAGGGAGGAGGTCACATATAGTTCCTTGTAATCGGTTCCATCTTTCCAACCCACTCTCCCTCTACCCTCCCAGTATTGCCACTCACACCACTGGTCCTGTAGGGCTCATCCACCCTGGATTCCCTGGATTTTCAGTTCCTATCTGTACCAGTGTACATCCTCTAGTCTAGCTAGACTTGCAAGGTCGAATTCCTGTCATGATAGTGGGAGCGGGGAGGAAACATTTAGGAACTAGAGGAAAGTTGTATTTTTCATCATTGCTACATCACACCCTGACTGGCTCATCTCCTCCCCATCTTCCAACTTTCACATGCACAGGTGGAAATTGAAAATATCTTACCTTGGGTCAAGTACACCTTAATCCTCAAGAATGGCCTATAACATGTAAAAATTGTCAACAAATCATTGCCAACAGATGCTCGCCAGGCATGCTAGTTGTGATGGGCAGAGTACAGGACATGTATGAAAAGACAGCATTGTGGGTGATACAGAGTTGAGAAAGCCCCACAGTCTTGCTTCTTCATACAGGCAAGACATTCATTAAAGTATGGTGGAGACGGCCACATAAACAGGCGATTGCAGCTACAACATAAATGCTGTGATAGGACATGTACAAGATGCACATATGACAGATATGTAAGTCAAACGTAGGAATTCTAGCAAAGCTGATTGGCAGAAATAACTCACCTGACACCTGAAGGATGAGTATAAGTTTAGCTAGTCCAAGAAGTTAGAGTCAAGCCACAGAATAAATATTTCCATTCACTTGACCTTTCAGAATCTCACATCTCTTTCCTTGAAATATTTTCTTCATCTTACCTTTTGCTATACTCTCCTGGTATTATAGATGAAATTATGCTCACCCAAAATATATATATGGTAAATTTCATGACATTCATTACAAATCCCTTATGCTCACCCAAAATATATATATGGTAAATTTCATGACATTCATTACAAATCCTGCAGCCCTCTATGCCTGTGGTTTGGAGTTCTGGTGGCCACGGCTGGTAAGTGCTGGACTGCTAATCTCAAGGTCAGAGATTGAAACCACCAGCCATTCCTCAGGAGGGATGTGAGGTAGTCTCCCATAAAGACGAACAGCCGATGAACCCTATAGAACAAAACTATGAGTTGGACTGAACTTGATGGCAACAGCTTAGGTTTATGACTGTGATTACTGTGATTACAAACCTATTTGAGAATGGGTTGTCCTTTATTAGGGTGAGGAAAGATTTGTGTAAGGTGTGCCTTTAGTCAATCTTTGAGATAAAAAGAGATTAAACAAGTGAGGAAAGAGCAAAGTGGGATAAAATACTAATACATGCTAAGGCAGGTGGAGGTCTTCAAGAAGCCAGGAAGTACATTGAAGAGACCAAGATCTTTCCGCAGAGCTGACAGAAAAGCTTTACAGTACAGTTGGAGCTCAGAATTCAGACTTACAGCTCAAAAATACTTTTTTTCCCCAACAACATAAATGGTAACTATGCAGATGTACCTCACCTTGTGGAATAAACAGGAATCAGAGAGTTGATGGAGAAGCTCAGTATCATTGGTCAGAACACAGCCCAGGAGGTCAACTATGGAACAGACCATCGATTGCTTTTATTCCAGTTCAGATTGAAGCTGAGGAAAATTAACACCAGTCCATGAGATTCAAAGCATGACCTTGAGTATTTAAACAAAAACAAAATCCAAACCTGCTTGCCCTCAAAAGCCACTTCAGATATCCTCCTGAATGTAGAGGTCATCCTAAAGATAGATTTGACAAACAGAGCAGTAAAGGCCAAAATCCAGAGGAGCTGTGGGTTGGCCTGGAGGACATTACTCACAAACCAGCAAAATGCCATTAAAAAGACAGAATAGAGAGAAAAGACCCCAAAAAATCCAGAAAAGACTCTGAAACTTGCTCTCTGAAAAAAAAACAAACATTTGATTGTGGGTTGAGTGACCATTCATAGAGCAGGGAACCAAATTGGTTTCCCCTTCAGTAATCTAAACACATTTGTCTCAGGACATGGACTGCAGCCCCATATTGTAACACCCTCATCCCACTCCCGGTTTCCCTTCTCGTTCTTTCAACTTTCTTTTCCATTCCTGCCTTCTGAGCTTTGTTTCTGCCTTTTGTAGTTCCATGGTTAGTTGTAGGAGTCTGGGTGGCATAGAGGATTCCACACTGAAATTGCTGAGCAGAAGATCAAACCCATTAGCTACTCCACGGGCTGTCTGTGCCTGTAGAGAGACAGTGTTGGAAACCCAAGGGGCAGTTCCACTCTGTCCTGAGCCACTGCGAGTCAGACCCATTTGATGGTCGTGAGTTTTTAAAAAGACTTTTTCTGAGGAGTACGTTTCCCACAGGCATCGTTTACTCACTTTTTAAGTCTGTCTATTGTTGGGCTGAAGGGGGGGGTGATCCCTCAGGTTGGGCTCAGTTCCAGGGTTGAAGGACACCTAAGGGCTGTAGTCTTGTAGATTCGACTTGTCTTTTTCCGACCAGCAAGTCAGGTCCTTTTTATGAGTTTGCATTTTGATCTGTATTTCTACCCCACTCTGCCCAGCGCCCTCTAGTGTGATGGTGATCAGAGTGGTCAGTAGTGAGAGCCAGATCGTTTTTCTGCTCTCAGGCTAGTGGAGGCTGCGGTTCTCTCGGTCCCTAGTCCTTTGAACAAATTGTTTCCTTGAGTCTGACTTTCTCCACTTGTCCTTTTCTTTATTCTGGACAGTGAAAGGCCAATAGTTGCATCTTCTGTGGCCCTCACACCTTTCGAGACACTCGTTGCTAGGCATCAGAGTAGTGAAGCGTGCCCCTGATCACAGAGTAGCTAGCGTGAAGGGAAGAAACGATGACACGAAAGGGCTGAGCAGGAAAGTTCAAAGGGTCACTGAAGACCAAGTATTACAATGCAATGTACAACCACTTTGAGTTAGAAAATTAAAAGGGGAAAGAACTCAGGCATATTTCAAGTTGAAAGAACTGAAGAAACATTCAAATTTTGAGTTGCAATGTTGAAGAATTCTATGGGCAAATATTGAATGCTGCAGGAAGCATCAAAAGGAGATGGAAGGACTATATGGAGTCACTTCACCAAAAGAATGAGTCGATGATAAACTATTTTAGGAACAGATGGTATTGGAGGAAGAAGTCTAAGCTGCCCTGAGGGCAATAGGGAGAAACAAGGCTCTAGGAGGTTATGGAATACTAATAAACATGTCTCCACAAACCGAAGGGACACTGAAGATGCTCACTCATCTGTGCTAAAAACTTTAGAAGCAGCTACCTGGACACCTGACTGGAAGGGAGGCATATTTGTACCCATTCCAAGGAAAGTGGTAATGCGACAGAATGCAGAAATTCTGGAATACTATTAATATTACACATCAGTAAAATTTTGCGAAAGATAATTTTAAAGTGGTTGGAGCAGCATGCTGGCCAAGAATTGCCGGAAATTGGGTTGGAATCATAAGAGGATGTGAAGCAAGGGACTTAATTGCTAATGCCCAATCGATTTTGGCTGAAAGCATAAAATACAAGAAAGATGTTGGCTGTGTTTTATAAACTAAACAAAGGCATTTGACTGGGTGGATCATAACAAACTATGGGTCACAGTTCAGAGAATGGGATTTCAAAGTGTTTAACCAAGTGGCAGTTGTTTGAACCGAACAAGAGGATACAGAATGGCTTAAAATCAGTAAAAGTGTGCATCTGGATGATATTCTGTCACGATGTGGATTCCGTCTGTACACTAGACAAAAGCTGAAGATGGCTATACGTCACTGTGCCAGTGCACCAGCCTTCACCAGTCTGCAGTCTATCAGCTTCTTCTCGTCACTGTTCAATCCACTTCTCTCCTTTCCTCTCACGCTCAGGATGATACCCTGTTTCATTGTCTTTGTCATGGAGGTGTCCTGGGTGGCATGTCTGCCTCATCTGTCATTTTGACGTTAGTTCCTGTCATTTGATTACTTGACTGCTGCTTCAATGAGCGTTGACTGGGGATCTAAGTAAAGCAAAACCCCAGGAAACGTCAACCTTTCCTCCATTTATCATGATGTTGCCACTCTTCCTATCACGGTAACTTTCTCGCCTCTTTTCCAGTCCTCTTGCAAATTGTTGGTGTTTTTGTTTTTAGCTTCAGTATATGAAATTCTATAGATTCCCCCAAATTGTAAGGCCTGTTTGAATTAAAGAAAACAGAGTTGTATATTGAAAATAATAGGAGGTTTGATGCCACCCAGACCTGGATTCCAAATCTATTCACCAACTTAGTGTCCTTAACAAATCTTTTTTTGCCCTAAGGTGTATATATAATTTATTTTGGTGTTGGTGAGACTATACAGCATGGAACATAACCCCAAAGGAACAATTTCTACAATGCATTACTTCCCTTGAGCTGTATAACCATTCTCACCGTCTTTTTCTGAATTGTCCCTCTCCGTGAGCATGCACTCACTGCCCTCTGAAGGTCGTCTCTAATCACTGGAGTTCCTATTGGCAGTTTGATTCCACAGAGCACAGTGCTTAAAGTGGGTGCTCTTTCTTAGTTAAGCAAAAATAATGTTTGGTTCTGGACAAATCATTGAATTTCACTGAGCTTCAACGTCCTTAACTTGTAACAGAGATAATACTTTAGCTCAAAGTACCACTGTGAGGCTTCAAAAAATTCTTTTTCAAATTCCCTGCCATTGAGTCACTTCTGATATAGCTACCCTACAGGACAAGGTGGAACTGCCGCTGTGGGCTTTGACCCTACAGGCCCATCAGACAGGTTAGAACTACCCCGTGAGCTTCCGAAAACTGTCGATGGGAGTAGAAAACCTGGTCCTTCTCTCTGGGAGCAGCTGGTGGGTTCCCAACGGTTAATCATTAGGATCACAGCCAACTCACAGCCAGCAAGCACACCCCAGATTCTATCTGTAACTCTTGCTGCAGCTTTTTCCAGCAGCAGAACTCCACGCTGGTCCTTTCCAACTGCTGGCTTTGCGGTTAGCAGCCCAACCAGTGAGTACTCTACTACGTCCAACATGACGCTCTGGCACCTACCTCTAACTCGGTAAAATGATTAGTGATTCTAAGAAAGAAAATTTCATTGTATCATTACTTTAACTACTGGATGAGTACTTTGAGTATTGAACAAGCAAATCGCTAAATCTTTGGGGAAAACAGATTACCACCAAAAGGAGTAGAACTGAAACGACTGGTTCAGTTTAACCACTTGTGAAATTCACCTTCTTTTCAGGTAAAGGACCTGTCTTCAGACACACTTCTCCAGCAGCATGATGATTTGGACTTGGCTTTGGATAGCTGCTACAGTGGAGATACAGTAGTTATTTTCCCCGGAGAATATCAAGCTGCAAATCTTGCTTTGTTGACTGATGACATCATTATAAAGGGTTAGCAGGACATCATTTGCAATTGTCTTAAAGCTACATAAAATGGATGGCTTATAGAGTGTTAACATGTGTGGGAATTATTGGAATGAGAACAGAGTTTCACAAAAGAAATTCCTTGTATGCTTTTTTTTTTTTAATCATTTTACTAGGGGCTCATACAACTCTTATCACAATCCATACACACATCAATTGTGTAAAGTGCATTTGTACATTTATTGCCCTCATCATTCTCAAAACATTTTCTCTCCACTTAAACCCCCGGCATTAAGTCCTCATTTTTCCCCTCCATCCCTGCCCCCCCTTCCCTCATGTGCCCTTGATAGTTTATAAATTGTTGTCCCCCAGGGAGGATGTCACATATAGTTCCTTGTAATCGGTTCCCTCTTTCCTACCCACTCTCCCTCTACCCTTCCTGTTTCGCCACTCACACCACTGGTCTTGTAGGGCTCATCCGCCCTGGATTCCCTGTATTTTCAGTTCCTATCTGTACCAGTGTACATCCTCTGGTCTAGCCAGACTTGCAAGGTCGGATTCGAGCCATGGTAGTGGGAGCGGGGAGGAAACCTTTAGGAACTAGAGGAAAGTTGTATTTCTCATCGTTGTTACATCGCACCCTGACTGGCTCGTCTCCTCCCCGAGACCCCTCTGCAAGGGGATCTCCAGGGGCCTACTAATGGGCTTTGGATCTCCACTCCGCACTCCCCCCATCATTCACTATGGTAAGATTTTTGTTCTGATGATGCCTTATACCTGATCCTTGTATGCTTTTTAAATTAAAAATTTACTACAACACTTCTCTTATTGCCATCGACATCTCTACTTTTACCAAAGCTACTTTTCTCTTCTCTGTTCCCACTGTTCTTCCTATGACTTCAGAAGGTGTGAGGTTGCAGTAAAACATACTCAGGATTTTCCCAGAAAGGCTAATTCTCAAGCAAACTTACTAAAATGGGAGCAGAAAATGATATATCTAAGTTTATTTTAGATTCTCAAGATATTTATTAACTGTAATTTTCCACTTTCACTTTAAAGTAAGAGTATTACCATGGCCTGGTCACAAGAAAAGAGCAGGTTGATTAAATTTTGTTTATTAATTAAAAAAACAACAAAGCCACATTTTCACTAGGTTTTGATGGTTGCAATAAGTATGTTTTCAACAGTTTATTGGCATGTAATTCACATATCATACAATTCAATCGTTCAATCACAAGAGTTGTACAATCTCAAAAGTTCAATTCAAGAGTTGTACAATCTCAACCTCTTCAAATCAATAGTACTTTACAGTCTATGTCATAGGATGTTATTGATATTATCAATGCAATCACCTTATACCCTAAGGGGATAATTGACAGTTGTTTTCCTTTTTTGTCTCTCTCCCTCTCTCTTTTTTTTTTTGGTCGTGAGGAGGGTTGTTTTGTTTCTTTGTTTTGTTGTTCTTGTTGATTCTGGCTTTTGTTTTTGTCATAATACGAGCGCCAAAGTAAACCAGAGTCATTCAGAACCTGGTGACAAACAGATGGATTCTGGGCTCCCATGTAATTCTAGTCCCAATCTAAGGACAGTTAAGTCTTAGAACCCGGTCCTGCTGGATACTCGCCTTCATGGGGAGACACTGAAGGGTGCTACAGCGAAGCGTGCAGAGGACAGGATTGGACTGGACTAGTGCTGTCCCTGTTAGGGGCTGTCCAGCTGGTTCCAGTTCACAGCAATCCTGTTTACAAGAGAACAAAACGGCTCCCAGTCCTGCGCCATCTTCACAATCGCGCTTCCGTTCCAGCCGGTGCTGGAGCCACCGTGTCAGTCCAGCCTGTCCAGGGCCTGCCTTCCTCGTTTTCACTGCCCTCCACGTTCCCACCCAAGCATGACAGCCTTTCCCAAGGACTGCTCTCTCCTGACAGGTCCAACTTCCCTGAGACAAAGTATTGCCATCCCTTGCCTCTAAGGAGTACTCTGGTTGTCCTTCTTCTAAGACAGACCACTCGGTTCCTTTGGCAGTCCATGGTACTTTTAATATTCTTTGCCAATACCAAAGTTCACATGCATTTTTGTTTTGTTTTTTCCTTCGACCTTCTTTATTCAATGTCCAACTTTCACATGCACGTGAGGCCATTGAAAACACCTTGGCGTGGGGTCAGGTACGTCTGCGTCTTCAGAGTACCAGCCTTGCTTTTCAAGACTCTAAAGAGGCCTGTGCAGCAGGTTTACCCAGTGAAATCCATCGTCTGATCTCCTAACTGCTGCTTCCATGAGCACTGATTATGGATCCGAGCAAGATGAAGACCACCTTTTCACTTTTTATCACGTTGTTAGTAGTTTAGTCCAGTTGTGAAAATGTTGGTCTTCCTTACATTGTTATGATACACACAGGCAGCTTCGATCCTTGATCTTCATCAGCAAGTGCTTCAAGTCCTTCTCACTCTCAGCAAGCAAGGCTGTGTCATCTATATATCACAGGTTATTAATAAGCCTTCTCTTCTAATCCTAATACCACATTCTTCTTCATACAATCCAGCTTCTCTGATTATTTGCTCACCACACAGATTGACTACATATGTTGAGAGGGTAGAACTGTGATACACACCTTTCCTGATTTTTTCCCCCAATTTAAAAAAAAATCATTTCCTGATTTTAAACCATGTACTATTTCTTTGTTGTTTGCACAACTGCCTCTTGATCCATGTGCAGCTTCTGCATGAGCACAATGAAGTGTTCTGGAATTCCCATTCCTTTCAAGGCTATCCATAGTTTTTTATGATCCACACTGTAGTAGTCGGATGATTTTATGTCAACTTAAATTGTATGAAATTGTAGGGGTGAAACCCAACCTGTCAATAAGGTTATATAGCCTGATGCTGCCTCCCTGGGGATCTGACCATCTTATAAAGGAGAAACTAGGAACTTCCCTCTTTGTCCCATTGCCTTCCTGCTTGCTGGGACTCTACCTGGCCCTGAGAGCTGTCAGCATCCTATCATGTTTCTAACAATCTTGGACCCATGTGACTCTGCACCCACAGGATTGTGACCTACCTGCATCCCGTTTCAGCTTTTTGAATCATCAGCCTGAAGTCATGTGAGTTTGAAGAGGCCTCCAGCTAGCTTCCGACCCATGGACTTAAATTGGACTGGGGTGCTTTCTTGATATAAAATTATCTTTATATCAAAATTACTGCTTGATATAAACTCTTTCTTATATACGAGTGAAATTTGTTTCTCTAGACAATTTGTGGCCTAACACACACTCACACAGTCAAATGCCTTTGCATAAACAATGAAGCACAAGTGATCATCTTTCTGATTTTCTTTGCACTGAGCCAAGAGGCATCTGAGATCAGCAATGATATCCCTTGTTCCATGTCCTCTTCTGAATCTGGCCTGAAACTCTGGCAGCTCTTAATCAATGTAATGCTACAATTGTTGTTGGGTGATCTTTAATAAAATTTTACTTGCATGTGATATATTGTTTTATAATTTGCACATTGTTGGATCACCTTTCTTTGAAATGGGTACAAGTATGAATTTTTTCCAGTCAGTTGGCCAAGTCTCCGAAATTTCTTGGAACAGACCTGAGTGCTTCCAGAGCTTCATCAGCTTACTGAAACATTCAATTTCAAACATCACTTCCTGGACCCTTGTTTTTGGCTAATTTTTCAGCACAGCTGGAACATCTTCCTTAAGTACCATTGGTTCTTGCTTGCTCATATGCTACCTCTTGTAAGGGTTGAATATTTGACTAATGCTTTTTGGTACAGTGACCCTGCATTCATTCCATCTTTTGATGCTTCCTTCATCATTCAATATTTGGCCCATAGAATCCTTCAATATTGTAACTTGAGGCGTGAATATTTCAGTTTGTTATGCTGAGCGCGTTCTTCCTTTTGGGTTATCTAACTCTAGGATTTTGCATATTTCATTATAATATTGGACTTTTTCTTCTTGAGCTTCCCTTTGGAAATTTGTTTAGCTCTCTATCGTCATTTCTTCCATATACTTTAGCTGCTCTATGATGAAGTGCACGTTGCAGAGTCTCTTCTGACATACACTTGGATCTTTTTTTCTTTCTTTCCTGCTTTTTAATGACCCTTTGCTTTCTTTATGTCTGATGTTCCTGATGTCTTCCCACAGTTCATAAGATCTGTCACTAAGTACTCAGTGCTGCACATCAGCTCTGCAGATGCTCTCAAAATTAAGATGGGTAGTATTTTGGTTCTTGTGGACTTGTCAATTTTATTTCTGTATATTCCATTTGGAGAAGTTCACCTGTATAGTTCTTTTTGTTGCTGGGAAAAGGTATTTGAAATGAAGAAGCCATATGTTGGCCTTGAAAAATGTTGTCATTCCATCGCAAGCTTTGATTCTATTACTAAGGCCATGTTTTCCAACAATTCTTTCCTCGTTGTTTCCGACTTTTGTATTCTAATTGCCAATAAATACACCATGATTGCAATTTTGATCAATTCCAGACTGAAGAAATTGGTAGAATTCTTCATCATCATTTGTAGAATGTCTACATCACTAGCTTTAGTGGTTGATGCATAAATTTGAATAACAGTTGTGTTGATTCTATTTCTTTTATGGGGCTAGACATTATTCTATCACAGACAGCACTACTGTATTTCAAGACAGATCCTGAAATGTCCTTTTTGACAATGAATGCAGTGCCATGCCTCTTGATTGTGTCATCCCTGGCATAGTAAACAATACAATTTGATCCAAAGGGACCGATACCAGTCCATTTCAGCTAATTCCTAGAATATTTCATTTTTAATGACTTCCATACTTTGTACATTGCAAGTTCTCATTATTAACTGATGTTTGCAGTTGTTTCTTCTCATTTTGAGTTGTGCCCCATCAGCAAATGAAGGTCCCCAAGGCTTTACTCCCAAAGACATTCTTCCATGTCCGTCATTATGATCGTCTCTGCTTTGAGAAGGCAGCTCTTGCTCAGCTATTTTGAGTGCATCTGACCCGAGGGGCCCATCTTCTGGCCCGATCTCTGACAGCGTTCTGCTTCTATTTATTCGGTTTTCAGCAACTGACAACGTTTTGATGTTCTCCATAGGGTTTGCAGTGGCTAACTCCTCTGAAGTGGACAGCTTATTCCTTCATCTGTTCTTAGTCTGGAAGCTTTGCGGAAACTTCTTCATTTTGGGTGACCCTGCTGGTATTTGAAATACCAGTGATGTAGCTTTTAGCATCACAGCAACACACAAGCCACCACAGTACGACAAACTGACAGAGAAGTGGTGGAAAGTACAAATGAGTATATTGAAAAAAATACCATAGTAAATTTAGTTGATAATAAACTTTTTCCATCATGCTAGCAAAATAAGGACAAAGACTGTTATTAGTTAAGCATGTATTTAGTAATAACTGAATGATTTATATCATGCTAAAATTATGTGAAAAGAAAAATCAAAAAGTAGTCAAGTATTGTTCAATAAATAAAGGGCTTTAAGATTTGGGATTACTTACATAATTATGTATTTTTGTCCCTATGAATTAGGAGTTGGAAAGAGAGAGGAAATTATGATCACTTCTGAACCTTCTCATGACAGTTTTGTGGTATCCAAAGCTGACAATGTGAAACTGATGCATCTATCTTTGATACAACAAGGGACCGTGGATGGCATTGTGGTGGTAGAGTCTGGCCACATGACTCTAGAAAACTGCATATTAAAATGTGAAGGAACTGGAGTATGTGTCCTTACAGGGGCCGCTTTGACAATTACAGACAGCGAAATTACTGGTGCCCAGGTATTTCAAATTAAAAACTAAAAAATTTTATGATATCTAACAATGTTGAATGATATTAATATGCAAAAGATAATTTCTTTCTTTGGATCTTTGGATTGAATTAGAATCACAAGCTTAGAAACTGATAAAGAAAAAAAAAGTGGGGAAATAGATCTATGTACATATATTTATAGGTTTAGTATTAAGGAAGCAAATAGACATTGGGCCTCTACTCAAGTACCCCCTCAACACAAGAACACTTTACTGGCATTCCATGATGCTCACCTTCCTGACACAATAGCTAAAGACAAAGTGGGTGCATAAGCAAATGAGGTGAAGAAAGCTGATGGTGTCCAGCTATCAAAACATATAGAATCTGGGTCTTAAAGGCTTAAAGATAAACAAGCAGACATCTAGCTGAGAAGCAAGAAAGCCCACATGGAAGCACACCAGCCTGTGTGATCATGAGGTGTCAATAGGATCAGGTATCAGGCATCAAAGACCCAGAGCAAAATAACATGTGAATGAGGGGAGTGCAGAGTGGAAGCCTAAAGCCAGTCTGTAGGCAACTTGGACATCCCCTTACAGAAGGGTTGTGGGAAGAAGGCAGGCCAGTCAGGGTGCAGTATAGCACCAATGAAACATAGAGCATTTCTCTGGTTCTTTAATGGTTCCACCCCCCCACCACACACTATCATAACTCTAATTCTACCTTACAAATCTGGCTAGACCAGAGCATGCACATGGGTACAGATAAGAGCTGGAAACACAGAGAATATAGGACAGATAAACTCCTTGGGACCAATATTGAGAGTAATCATACCAGGGGGGTAAGGCTAAGGTGGAGGGATAACGGGAACCCATCACAATGACCTACCTATAACTCCCGCACAGGGGGATGGATAACAGACAAGGGGGTAAAGGGAGACACCAGACAGTGCAAGATATGAAAAAATAATAATTTATAATTATCAAGGGTTCATGAGGGAGGGCGGGGCGGGGGAGAGAAGGGAAAAATTAAGGAGCTGATATCAAGGGCTCAAGTAGAAAGTGCATTGAAAATGATGATGGCAACATATGTACAAATGTGCTTGACACGGATGGATGGATGGATGGATGGATGATGAATTGTATGAGCCACCAATAAAACAAAAGAAAAAACAAAGTGAGGACAAATGTAAGGGTGGCCAAGTACATTTTGGTCTGGTGAACTGCCTCCCTCTAAAACAAAACAAAGGAAAACAGCGAACCCACTGCTATGAGTCAGTTCTGACTCATTGTGCCTGTGTAGGTTTTCCCAGATGCCCTCGGCTGTGTCCCATGAAGAGGTGGGAGGCTTTGCGTTTACCTAGACATAACCAGGCCAATGCTTACCCAACAGCGCCACCGGGGCTCTTTACTGAAGTCCAAAGAAGGAGGTAGTAGTTTTGCCGTAGGAATCAGTGGCAATATGGCAGATCATGAGTTTATTAAATTTATTTTTAAACATACTTATACTAAAAGGTATTGGGTTAAGTCTGACAGCCTCTCATGACATAATAAACACGAATATGCTCAAATAGCAATCAAAGTTTTACCACTACAGGAATGGAAAACTGCAATTAAAAAAAATTTCCTTGATTTCCACTGAGAAAATAAGCCTTTAGCAGCATCCTGAAAGGTTTAGTTGGAAATTTCTTGGCAAGGTATTAGATTTGCTTCCAGAGATTTATTTAGGTCAGAGAGCAAGGTAATGGACTATTTGACCTCAACTTTCAATTTTGGCTTACTGAGTCGCTAACACCAGTGATAACTATTTATAGTTTTCGATGTCCTTAACATAATCTCTACAGGAAGTTGTTGCATACACTATGATGTCTTTTTAAGTGACTGAAATGCTGGTTGCTAATATAGAATTATAATTTCCAAGACTAAGGAAAAGCATGGAGCTATTTGGTGAGTATGTTGTAGACCATCTACTTTTACTTTACCAGGGTGCGGGTGTGGAGCTCTACCCTGGGAGCATGGCCATTCTGGAAAGGAATGAAATCCATCACTGTAATAACCTCCGGACCAGTGACTGCTCGCAAAGCACCTTAGGCGGAGTTAATATGAAGGTATGCTCATCTCTCTTGGTAGAGAAGCACACAGTATTGAAGTAATTAGTGCAATAGGAAAAAGACATGTCCAATTTAACCTTTATTATTCAGTGATTTCATATCTAATAAAACTATCTGAAAATATTCTATCATCATTGATTTGGAAAAGAGCAACCATACAAGTAGCAATTAAATATGATTAAAATGATGAGGTACGATTTTTTTAGTCTTTAGATTTAATAGATTAAACTTAACTTCTAAGCAAATAACCTAAAATCATATTCCATTTCAGGAGGGCTCATTTTTCTAACAAGCTACTGTATGACGCCCATCCTGTTCATCTGTGGATGAGCAAGGGAAAAGTATTGCAGGTGTTTCATTGATAAGACGCGTAGAAGACAAGAGAATAATATATTAAGAAGTCTTTCATAATTGTATAAAAACTTTAGGCTAACCAACGAAAGCATTCACTATAAGACCGAATAGGTCAATTGCCTTCCAATTCCTTTGTTTTCCCCAAAACTTAACTTCCAAGGCCCTTCGCTAGGCTTGCGTGGTTACTGTCACTTTACCCCGTGACTCGTTTGCGTTGAATTTTTATTTTATGTACGTATTTTATCTCCTCAAATAGACTATTTCATCTCCTCAAATAGACTACACACTAAAGGCAGATGATTTACAAGGGGGCTTGCAAAAGTTTTGGGAAAACGCAATATCACGAAATTTTTCAATGAACTTTTGGAAGGTGGCTGTGTTTACATGAACCCATATGAGGAAATCCAACTGTGTTTAACATTGAAAGAGTGGATGTAAAGGAAGCCATTTATTTCCTCATGAATAAGTTCTAGAGTAATGTTTAATAAAGTGTTCAATATGACCTTTCTACTCAACTTACTGAAGAACTAATTTCTTGGAACTCTTTACTAGGTTCTCCCAGCACCCAAGCTGAAGATGACTAACAATCACATCTATAACAACAATGGCTATGGCGTCAGCATTCTCCAGCCGACGGAACAGTTTTTCATTGTAGCAGAAGATGCAACCAACAAAGGGGCTGCCTCCGGAGACAAAAAAGATGAAACTATGCTCTCCAAAGTGATGCAAAACCTGAATCTGGAAATGAATAATAATAAGATAGAAGCCAATGTAAAGGGGGATATCAGAATAGTCACAAGTTAAAACGCGCTGTTGTCTATTTCAGATAGTTGTTTACGAAGTAATTTTCAAATCCCACAGAAATGGTGGTTTTCATGAAATTCAAAGCTTATTTTAGAAATAAATATAGAAAATTTTCATTGTATGAACCATCTTCATGTATTCTTTTAAATAGCTTTAATGAGATGCAATTTACATGCCATAAAATTCATCCTTTCACAAGTGTACTACTCAGTGGCATTTATTACCTTTTTAGTATATAATATAACTATCCTTATTAACTCAGGAACAAATGGCCTGGTTAAAGCATTCAGCTGCTAACCTCAAGGTCAACGGTTCAAACTCACCCAGGGTCTCATAAGAGAAAAGTGTGGTAGTGTTCTTCCATCACTATTACAACCTTGGAAACCCTACAGAGCAGCTCTACTGTCTTCTAGGGCCATTTTTATTCTGAACCAACTTTGTGGCAATGGGCTTATTTGGGTTTTGTCTAATAAAAGGGGTCCTGGAGTGAAGAAAATGATTAATGCACTCAGCTACTAATCCAAAAGTTGGAGGTTCTTGTCCACTCAAAGGTGCCTCAGAAGAAAGTCCTGGTGATCTACAAAAAAAGTCATCAAAAACCCTGGGAAGCAGTTACTAGTTTAACACACAGGGAGTTGTCTTCAGTTAGAATATCGATGCAACAGCAACTTATTGTGTGTGTCCAATAAAAATCTGGTGGTGTGTAGCAAGTAGATCAAATTTATTTACTTACATGATCATTCTTGTTCGTTCCCAGATATTAGTACCAGTAACCAGAATAAT